GAGAGAGAGAGAGAGAGAGAGAGAGAGAGAGAGAGAGAGAGAGAGAGACTGAACACAGTCTTGCTGTTAACACCCAAAGGTGTCTTTGACACTAAATTTTTAGAAGCAACAAAACGAACTTGTTTGAAAAATTAACCCCACAACCTGTTTTACTTTGAACCACTCAGACCACAACACGTTCATAAAGTGCCAGGTGGAAGGCGATTAAGAGGCATTAAAAATAATAACCACTTGGTTTTACGGTGTATGACAACTTAGTATAAGCTGTACACTGTTTTCAACTTTTTTCCGTTTTCTCCGATCTGACCCCTAAAAGCAAGTGTGCAGCTCCAAGACTGAGATCTTGCCTAAATATTCATCTGCAGTTCAGTTCAGTTTGTTTCAGGAATATTGCTTCCATGGGTATGTTTCCATAGACTACCCGGGTAAGGGGGGAAAGTCCATGTTCAAAACAGTCGTTTCTTAAAATAAATCCATGCATGATCCTGTAAGGCTAGACGACAGTGAGGTAGACCACTTTATGAGACATCAGCTGTTTAAGCAACTCATTAGGCTTATCATCCACTGCCTTAGTTAGAGCATGACGCACGCCCAGGCACTAGAGGGCGTCGACAAGTCATGTATAAAAATTTTTTATGGGAAATTGCATGAGAAAACTGTAAGACGTATCTCATTTCTTTATCATAAGGAAAAGACTCGGTGCAAACACAAAGGGGGTATTAAAAAGTCGTCAACCAAGGATTGTCAATCGAATTCCCTTTGTTTAGACCTGGTCCACTTTTGGAATGCAAGGGACGAGTGAATCCTGAATATTCAGTGAATATAACAAATGTGTTTATATTGATTGATTAAAGTGAGTGTAGGAGAGACTTGCTACTTGTTACGGTAGAGGGAATATCGTATTCGTTTTCATGCTGGCATTGCCACCACAGTTAGCTTGTGCCGTGTCTTGACCAGCAGCACAGATAATTACGGCTCTGTGGAATCTTGGACATGACATGAATAAGTGTACATGGAGGTCAGCTTGACGACTGAGAATGGAATTTGCGACCGACTAATGTTTAAACAGTGTGTTGAATGGTATGAAACTGTGCGGAACCTTCCTAATGGGCTTTGAGTGGGCCAAGAGAGAGCGTGATTTGGCTATCAACGACGCATTATTTGGAGAAACGATGTGTGTCGCTACTGGCCAGCGTAGCTCATTGAAACTGCGTTGGAATAACATTGTTCGGTTTTCCATGACAGGTAAAATTAGGAATTTCACCTGTTAGATACCTCTGCACCAGTTTTGTATAGTTACACGTCTTTGAATGCACAGTTTATTGATGGACTGGTTTCACTTTTTTTCTCAACAATTCTCTGGTAATATGGTGATATTATTTTGGGTTGATTTCTGAATTTGTTCTAACCTTGATTTGCCTGGATATTGTGGTTTGTTTGAATTTTGGCTTATATGCTGCAGTGTTTTGCAACTAACTGCAGAGTGAGAAGATTGCATGCTGAATTATTCAGTAATGATCTACAGATCCTACGAATTGGTGATATTGTCGCCTTTTACAGCAATGTAGGGTTGAAAAGAATTTCTTTCCCGTTGAGGAGAACCCTTTGACACCTGTGCCAGAAATAGCCTTTGTTTTGGCGTTTGCCATCATTATGACATTAGATGCTGTATACAACCTCTCTTGTTTACTAGTACGTTTGCCAAAAACAAAACAAAACAAAACAAAACAAAACAAAACAAAACAAAACAAAACACAGCACAGCACAGCACAGAACAGAACAGAACAGAACAGAACAGCACAGAACAGAACAGAACAGAACAGAACAGAACAGAACAGAACAGAACAGAACAGAACAGAACAGAACAGAACAGAACAACAGAACAACATAAACAAGACGAACAACGAACTCACTCCATCGGCATCACGTTAATAAGCTGCTTTACTCAGACAAATGTCTTGGTGAAACCGTTTCAAAACATTTAGGGGGGTGCATCTTACGTTAATAAGTCGTTTTTTCATAGACTTCTGCACGACTTTACATGGCCATGGTATGATCGTGCTTACATTTGTATATTTATCTATTTCTCCTTCACTGTGCTTTTTGTACTCTACTATTCCTTCCCTTTAGTGAACAAGCAAAGTGCAGTTGCCAGAGGTTTATGTGGAGGGAGTAGCGCCAACTTCAGACTTTGGAACCAAGTGCTGTACAGCATAAAGCTATTGTTTGCTAGTTGTCCGCGTAGAGTTAACTTGCGCTGCAAAGGCCCTATTTTCTAAAATGCTGGGCCCTATGACGTCAATCACTGATCAACCCATTATTCTTGTATTGTAGACCCCACAATCCCTTCTAATGACATTTAGATTATAAAATACAGAGAAAGCCTTTGATAAAGATTCTGCAGGGATCGAAACGTCAGGTCCTCCACATTTTGAGATCTGTATCTTAGGTCATTGTAGTCAGCAAACAGTTTGCAGCTGTTTTGTGTAACGTATCTTTGACATTGAACGTGAAAAGTGGGTGTCCTCCAGTCCCTGCAAATAAAAAAGGCGCAAAAAAAGGTAAGAGTTGAGTCAGGATAAAACATTGTTTTCGTGATTATAGATTATGTTGCCTTTAAATGTATGGAAAAGAACTGCATGAACAATCTATTCATTTCTGAGATAATCTTGCTTTCTCAGAGGTATCTTTAACAACTATGACATATTATCACAGCGACAATACTGCCTCTTAAAACAACGTTCTTTTAAGAGTCAGCGTTTGACCAGCCCATTGACCGATATCAAGCAAAATGTTAGAGATTAATTGTAATTTGAACGTTTCACGTTGTCAGTAACTTGAACAATCTCCCAAAGTTCTAGCACAGTATGTTTATTGCAAGTGATCTCCTGTGGTATATCTTGGAGGGTAGGATCCAAGATTTTCCATGAGACATGTTGCCATTTTCTCACCAATTGGACAATTTGGGCAATCTGGACAACTTGTCCCAAACCTCACACCTGAAAATGTCTCTGTTTTACAATGTTGTTGAGTCGAGTCACTGATTCGGACTCGAGTCGCTATTTTTCAGACTTGAGACTTGACTTGACTTGACTTGAAAAGAAATTACTCGAGACTTGACTTGACAAAAATGACTGGAGACTTGACTTGACTTGGAAAAATGACTGGAGACTTGACTTGACTTGGAAAAATGACTGGAGACTTGACTTGACTTGGAAAAATGACTGGAGACTTGACTTGACTTGGAAAAATGACTGGAGACTTGACTTGACTTGGAAAAATGACTGGAGACTTGACTTGACTTGGAAAAATGACTGGAGACGACTTGAAAAAACAAAAACTTGACATTTGACTTGAAAAAAAAATGACTCGTTATATGAAATCATTTATTTAAAAATATGCTCAAAAATCCCGAACCTCTGTGACCTGTGCGTTCATCCCATTCACGAAAACATCGTTCGTATTCACGGTATTCTTCACGTGTGTATCGGAACTCGTGTTCATAATACACGCGTATGTACAGTACTATGTACATGCAAGTTTGTACATTCGTGCTTGTGAACGTGAGGCGCACTGCAAAGTCTGATTACCATTCGTTATTAGAGAGCGTTACTCGTTATTAGAGCCCACAGGCTGCATACTGTTGCAGGCTGCGGGCAAATTCAAATCACCCTAAATTCAACACTCAGGAATAAATCGAGTGGAATACAACTACTACCAAAAATCCCCCATTAGCAAAAAGGAATTCACACTGCATCAAGCAGAAACACTCTGTCAATTGCCGTTGGTATAATCACTTTGAAGGAAACGTTCATAATATTTGGTAAAAAATGTAGTTTTTTAATATTTAAGTGCCAAAGAAGAAATTGTAGCAATTTGTGTCACTTTCCTTTTAAAGTACACTCTTTTCGAAATTTGATTTCAGACTTGACTAGACTTGAAATAAAAATGGACTCGAGATTTGACTTGAAAGAATTGACTCGAAACTTGACTTGACTTGGAAAAAATGACTTGAGACTCTGCCTGACTTGCTAAAATTTGACTTGGGACTTGACTTGGAAAAAGTGATTTGGATACAACTCTGCTGTTTTCAACCACACTACAAAACTGCAACTGAACTCTAACAGAAATCAAAAGGCAGCTTTAAATCTTTTAGTGCTTGAGGTTCAGACGTTGGGAAATTATAAATCTAGGTTTAAGAAAAACGATTACTATTTTTCTTTCAAAATTGGTACTCTGTAACAGTTTCAGTTAAACAATCATGATTAAATACGAGCGAATGTACAACCCCTTAAAACATGAGCTGCAAATGAATTAATGTCTTGTAAATATATAAGTGCTATTTCTAGATTAATGTTAAGCATCTTGAACATACATTTGTTTTTTAAAGATGCCTTAAACATCTTTAGTAACTTTACTTTAATGAACTTGGATAATATCACAAACTTTATTCCCTACTCCTTTTCAAACAAAGTTCATGGTGATGATATAGAAACAGAAATAAAAAGTAGGAAGAGATACTAAAATGCAGTGTCAATATGTAAAATACTTTTTCCCACGAATTATATTGATAATATGAATCTGGACAACAAGAAAGTGAAGGGAATCCAAATCAATTGTCTGACGCGAGTTCCATGGGGATCGAGTGAAAAAAAGCACTGAGGATTTTTTTGCGGAATGTAGGCATACCAGGTAAAACTGTGGACTACGTATTTGAAGGCCAAGCAAAAATTCATCACATTTAAGGAGGTGCTGTTTTTATCAATGTACAAATGTCATATCGTATGTCTTTGGACATTTCAAGGCTGTCCAAAATTGGAAGGGAATACATTCATCCAAATTACCCTCAAATCCGTCCATTTCCACTTACAGGTTCACTACCTTTTTGTAATGGGTATTTAGCAAACACGCAGTTGTTGTTCTCTTAATATCAAAATTTACTCAAACCACCCGAAAGTCCATCACTGCGGATAAATACCTCAAAAGACAAAAATGCGTAATTCTGTCCATGTTTTGGAGAGAATCTCTGATATATAAAAACGATTGCTTTATGCCAAAACAGCTAACTACGGTGAAGGAAAAGGCTGCTGTTGCATTCAGTCACTATCACTTCCAGTGCTTCTTCAACACAGATGAGTGGTAATTGAATTCAATGAGACATTTATATGCTCCTGAAACTTGTTTAATTTAAAGAAAGCGACACTTTTTAGTTTTAAGGAAAACAAATCTTGCATAAACAAAAACTGGTGTTTTTGTGTTTTTGCTTGATTTTGTCGTTCTAATCTAGGATTTTGACGAGATCACAAATTGCTTGTCAACAATCGTGCCATATAGAGGTAAACCACAAACTATTTTAGGAAAAAAATGTATGCGTGAGGATAGACGTTTTTACTTGTGAATAGGGCACAAATGAAAAGCTGAATGCACTGCTTGCTTTTATCCCCAAAACCATAAAACAGAATGTGGTGTAGGTGAAATTTTCATTGGAATGCCCAAGGCACACAATGCCGCGTGAATTGTTAACACTTTGCGACTGAAATCAATATCAGATCACACCATAGTGCTACAAACAGGGTAATTAGATTTGATGCAAATCATGCAACTGCGGTTGACAGGAAATTGATATATTAAAACAAGAGGACTGCGGTTTTCTAAAAATCTAATCAAGTGATAGCAAACATGCATCCACTTCTTTTAATTCAGGTGAATCTCACCATAGTATTATTGTAATAGAAATGTTTTAGAGTATTAGATAACATTCACAGCGTGTTGCGAATATATGATGATTACAACGCGCATGACCAGTCTTTCAAGACTGGTTGTTGTCTATTTATTCGACGTAAAGGAGAAATCCACTGAATGACGTGTAGTGTCTGGGTGAAGAACTCCACGCCTTACCGTTCATGGTCAAATACACCAAGTCTCCTTGCTGCAGAACCAGTACCGCGCTGGAAGACACCTGCTCAAATTGATCTGAATCATAGCTGTTGCCCGAGACAACCCAGTCTTCGTTTTTCCTGAGACTAACAGTGAGAGAGCTGGAGCCATATTTGCCTACAGAAAACGTGAACACGTAGGTACCTGCCACATTACAAGTGAATGTCCCCGTCGCAAGATCGAAACTGGTACCCGGCAGAAGCGTCTCAAACCTCTCAAAAGACAAACGGCTGTCGTAGCTCCCAGACATTTCGGAGTCGGTTCTCCGGGTCACGGTGAATGCCACCGTTTGGGCGGAGTTACCTGGAGTCTCCCACGGCTCTCCCTTTTGACCTTTGACCCCTGCTTCTCCTTGGGCTCCAACTAAACCGGGTGGGCCTCTGGGACCTACCTTACCAGGCAGGCCGATTCCGTCACCCCCTTTGGGGCCAACAATTCCAACAGCACCGGTTGGACCGATGTCACCCTTTTGACCCTTTACCCCTACATCGCCCTTTGACCCTGCGGGTCCAAGCTGACCCTGATTTCCTGGTAGGCCTTGAATTCCGGGTGTTCCAGCAGGTCCCTGACAGCATATTGGACACACCTGAGAGCTAGGGCCTTCACCACCCGCAGGATCCGACTCCGTAGAAGTAGCTCGGAGCTTGACAGAGTTCCCCAGAAGGATGGCAATTGAAAAGGTAATTGCATACCAGCGTTGCATCTATAAAAATGTAATGGAATCGAAAAACTATTAAAAAGGAGACATAATTCGGTACGGTTTCTGAAAATAAAAGGAGAAGTCAATGAAATTGTAATTGTCACAAGTCAGTGATATTTTACGCCAAGTGTTTGATTAATTTA